AAGCTTTACATTTTTATTAATTTCTGCACACCAATTCTGTCTAGATATATCAAAACATCTTTAAATTCACTGAAGAACATCTCGCTATTATCAATTCTTTGTTCATACCATACATGTCCATAACCAGATGTACATAAAATATTCAAAACTTATTCAAAAAGCGCACAAGTAATTTAAGATCAGAATAAAAAGTAGTTTCTTGCTCTATAAGTTTCCTAGAATTAAACGAATTCTCTCCTTTAATTCAGGACGCGTATCTTGCAGACAAACTATTGAAGACAAATCAGATACATCTGATAAGACTGACCCAGTCTCCTCTCTATCGCCACACGTCAACACTTGTGGAAGTAAACATTGCCTTTTGAAGGTCGATTCGATCGCAGAGATGGATACTTTAACTTTCTAAGTGCAAAGGCGATACTATCATTCATGTTTACTGAAACAAGTCCAATGTATATAAGTAGTCTTTCAAAATCGCCGGGTCATACGAAATGAAAGGTCACGTACATTGACATAGATAAGATCACGTATACAGCTGCACTCTGATTCGTTGCCAATGACAGTCCAACAAATTTAATTTGCATAATCACCGGAGTTATTCCGCTTCGGTTTTCACTACCGCTCGGGTATCGTCGGGGTTTCTTTCGTGGTTAAACTAGTTTTCGCGATCACGTTAAAAATGCTAAATTGACAATTATATTTTTTTTGTACAACAAAACAGAAGTCCCGAATTTGCCAGTCTACACTATGGTATGGTATGCACTGTACCTGTCCAATATCGTTTCCGTGATCTTTTGGAGAGTGAGAGGACTATGGGAGATGTTGTATTCGCAAGTTCAAAGGGCAATTAACATTGCATTAATTAAGATGTGTACAGGAAGTAATTAAAAACACTGCTTGAAAGGAGCGAAAAACTAAAAAAAAAATCGATTGTTTGCTAGCGATTCACATCGTATACATAACAATTACGAGAAAATGCAGTTCTGGTATATTTATGTGTCGGCATATTCATCAGCATCATTCCTCTGCTAACCGTCATCTCCATTAAGCATGTAGTCCGGGTACTCTAGTAGTTGTCCAGCAACAGTGGATATGGCATCGTTGATGCACCAAAGCGATATAAATTTATTTAAAGAACGAGTCACCATATGGTAGTTGTACTCATTTCTCAACCTTTGCCTGATTCTGGTTTTAAAGTACTACACTACATCAGTCTGGAAGAGTTCATTCATCTTATTGATCCTAGTCACGTGTTTCATTGTGGTGATGATAAAGCATAAGAGGCGGTGACTTGGAGTTGGTTGCTTACTTTGTGGACCTAGTATGTACCAGGACAGTTGAACTTTGTCAATGTAAAGTAGTCTGTGGATGATAATTTTAAAAAGGTTGAAAAGAGGTGCCAATCTTGTGCACTCGATGAAAATGCGAGTGTCACGAGGTTGTATTAAATATTTGGATAAATTATACAAATGTCTAAATGTCGGGTTCCAAATATCACTCGTGTTGCGGGGTTCTTTTACCTGTACCGAATTAATGGTTTATACCTCTAAATGAGTAGTTGTGACCTGTTCAGCAATATGTTTGGGAATACGAACATACAAACACAGCATACAAGAGAAGACTAACTAATCAGTAACAAGTAAAGGAATTTAATTAATCACGGAAAACACATGCATTACAAATAACATTAACCGCTCCCTAAATAAGGGA